AGAGTCTTTTTTCGCGGAGTTAGATTTTTCCTCCGTGATTTCCTCTGGCAAAGACTGGTCGTGGGGTGGAGATTTTTTCCCATCATTTTCTCCTATTCGCGTCGAATCTGCTGCGTCGAAGTTGATTTTTCTGGAATCCCGCGGCCGCTTTCAGATCTTTCCTTTTTCGCCAGCTAGATCCGCAATCACTGGCTGATTGGCTGAAGAATTTCCGCCACTGTTGCGTGCTTGATACTCAGCGCGTGTGGCTTTCATTTTGTTGCAGTCGAAGATTCGATGACCCGGCACCCCGCAAAAATCACACGTGAAGTTGGTGTTTTTCGGACGTGGCCGCCCTTCGAACCTGTCGACTTCCATCGGGTCGGCGAACGTGGTGTGAGCCGAGCGGTCGCCCTGTCGCGTACTGCCGACGTGCGTCCGTCGTGTCCTGGCGTTGACCATGTCCAAGCGTTCCGCGGCCGGTACGACGTCACTGTAGCTCGCGTAATTTGTCGCTGCCACTTGTCGTTTGACTTCGGTCTTCAGCCCGGCGAGGTACGATTGTACCTTTTCCTCTTCGGTCAGGTCGGGAATGCGGTTATAAAATTCCTCCATCTCCTGCGTGTACTGTGCTACACTCCCGAACTGTCGATGGCGATGAATTTTTTCGCGGGCAAGGAAACCCGAATTTATCGGCTCGAAACGTTTCAGCAGGTCGTTGCGGAACTGCTGCCACGTGGCTTCGCCGTGGTTGAACGTGCTGTTACCGCCGATCCACTCGAGTGCAGGCCCTCGCATTAGTGTCGCCGCGAGTCGTACGCGTTGACCGTCCCAGGCTGGCGAGCTTCATCCGACGGCTGCGAAGTAGATCTCCATGCCAGCGATCCATCTCCGGACGTCGGAGTTTCGATCGCTCAAATCGAACGGCTCAGGTGGGCGCTTTTTCGGAGCCTCGAGAAATTGTTGCGACTGCTGCGTCGTCGCCGTTGTCGTTTCGTGTTGCGCTCCGGTGAGTCGAGTTACTCGCTCGAACTCGTTTCGCCAAGCTTCTCGGTCGGCTCGCATCTCCTCCTGTAGGGCTGCGATGCGAGCGAAGAGCTGCTGGGTAACTTCGGCGTTGTCGAAGTTCGCCATCCTGTTCAAAACACGCGCGGAGTGGGTAATTCGAAAAAACGCGGAGCTGGTGCTTACCAGAATCGGCGTCGAATTGGTCGCCCCCGGCGGTTTTCTGAGGCAAGATCCCCGCTGCTGCTGCTTAGCTGAGCGCGGCCGAGTAAGAAAAGCTCTGATTACCAAGTGTCACAGAATCGAATGTCTCGAGGAAAGATTGCACTATCGATCTGTACAAGGCGCTTTTACACTTCCAGAGTACATCAGGTAACCAGGTTTATCTTATCCTAAGGGAATAGACCCTTCTAGAAAATAGAATCACCCTAAGTATAGCCATGCGAGGCTATTGGCTTTAAGGGATTACGACATGATTACGCTAGATAGAGCGTACCAGTACATCCCGAGCCTGGTCGGTGATATAATCATAATAGCAGGATAAACCAAAGGTTTATGGAAAAGGAGAAATAGGAATCCAAATGGAATGAGATAAAAACCAAATGGATCAAGATGGAAAGAGGAATGAAATGGAAAGGGAATATGGAAAGGAGAAAGGAATGGAACGGGGTCGTACTCTCACAATGTGCAGGCCTGTGAGAGAGCCCGAAGTAACCGCCGGGCAAGGGAGGGTGGTGGAACTGCGGGCGACTACAGGGCCACCGGAGGGGTCAGCCAGGGAGACGGCGGCAGGGACAGGAAGCGGTGTCAACGTGGTGGAGTCGCGGAAAAAGCACCGGGAAGCACCAGAGTCGAAGGTGAAGGAGAGCGCGGCAGTGGCGGCCGGAGGCGAAGTAGCGATGAAAGCACGAAGGCTAAACAAAGAAGGGGATCCTACGCCTGACGCAGCAGGGGAGTCTAAGGAAGGCACACCTACACTAGGCAACAAGGGGTAATAAGACGGAAGCACACTAGAGTCATCAGCATACATCACATGCAGAGCAGCAACAATCTCATCCATGTCCAGATAAAAAATCTGAACCCTACGACTAAGCAAGGTGTGCCAGTCTGGGAGCTCGGGCGACGGGCCGAAACGCTGACGAAAAAGGTCGTCTCGGCGACGGAAACAGCGGACGGAGGTATGACCGATCTTACCGCAAACGAAGCCACGGCGAGGACTGGTCTGAAGCAGGTACTGACAGCGCGCGGCTCCCGAACCACCACTCGGCAGCCCACCACGTCCAGCGTTGCCACCAGCGCCGAGCCACCCAGGCGGAAGACGACTCATCCGCCTCTGCTGCGGCTGCGACTGCTGCGGCTGCGGCGACGGCTGCAGCTGCGGCGGCTGCGGCTGCTGCAGCTGGCACGGGTCCGGCGACTGCTGAGACGGCTGCTCGGCTGCACCTGTCAGGGTCCCCGCGTCAGCACCACCACTAGGTCACCCAACTCCAGCACCACCTACACCCCCACCCCCTCCCCCGGACGAACTTGTGCGGCAGCGGCAGTCTCAGCCACAGCAGCAGAACCGTCGGAGAAGGTGCACTGAGCGGGGGCACAACCCTGAAAGATAGGGAGCGGCACAGTACCGCTGGTCTGAGCGATAGAGCGGTGGCGGGCCTCTATAGCGGACAGGGTGTCAACAAAGTCAGTGAGGGTAAGGTCTGCTGGGTGGACGCTAAGTAAGCGGTCACGGGCAGTGGCAAGACGGTCAGGGAGGCGGGTGGGCAGCAGGTAGAGAGTAGAGGTGAGGGGCGGCTGGTGGGCTAGAAGCTGTGTGGGGGTGCAGGCAGCACGCCAGGTCTCGTCTATGGTGCGCAGGTGAACGGCCAGGTCGGCGACAGTGGGGAACGACGCAAGGTCACGAAAGAGCATGGGGAGGATCAGACGACCAACCGAGGTAGCAGGCGGGGTGGAATAGCGCTGGATAACAGCATCTAGGAAAGCCTTGGCAGTGGTGATAGACCTGAAGCGAGGTCGCTCGGACAGGGGGAGGGCATTGCTAATAGCAAGCTGTGCAACAGCGTCACGGGACAGCCAGACAGAGCGAGCAAGGGCAGCGGCTGGAGCGGACTCACGCTCAGCGGACGAGGGGTCAGGAGAGAGGGCAGCGGGGGGGTCAGGGCAGGGGAGGGTACCATCAAGATGGACAGACAGCGAGTGGCCATCCTGCCGCTTACCACTGAGATGGCGACGGAGGTCAGCAAGCCACGCATCAAAATCAATCGGCTGGCCCTCAGCGTCAAAGCAAAGCATCGCCGCCATGAGTGACAATAGAGGGCAGTGTAGAGTAGGACAGTGTGGTGCAGTGCTGTGCAGTGCGGTACAGTGCGGTATAGTGCGGTGCAGTGCGGTACAGTGCGGTATAGTGCGGTGCAGTGCTGTACAAAGCGGTGCAGCGCGGTACAGTGCGGTACAGTACGGTGCAATGCAAAGCTGTGCAGTGCGGTGCAAAGCGATGCAGTACGGTACCGGGGGGGGGGGTTTGGAGGGCGGTGCTGATCGGGAAGAACGGGCCGAAGCCGAGGCAGCGGCGGGCCGGCGGGCGGCAAGAAGACACGGCCGCGACGGCGGCCAGGGACAGCCACAACGGCGGCCAGGGACAGCCGCGACGTCAGCCAGGGGCAGCCACGACGGCGGCCAGGTACAGCCGCGACAGCGGCCAGGGACATCCGCGACGGCGGCGAGGGGCGGCCGGAACGACTAGGGGCAGCCGAGGGACGGCAGAAAGCGGCCGCGACGGCGGCTAGAAGCAGTCGCGACGGCTAGGGGCGGGCTCAAATGGCCAGGGGGCCTGCGAGGAGCGGGCACGAAACGGCCAGGGCGCCGGCTAGGAGGGGCTCAACGGCCAGGGGGCCGGCTAGGGACGAGCGTGAACGGCCAGGGGGCCAGCTAGGGACGGGCGTGACCGGCCAGGGGGCCGGCTAGGGGCGAGCGGGACGGTCAGGGGGGCGGCTAGGAGCGATCGCGACGGGCAGGGGGCCGGCTAGGGGCGAGCGCGACGGTCAGGGGCCGGCTAGGAGCGATCGCGACGGGCAGGGGGGTGGCTAGGGGTGATCGCGACGGCCAAAGGGCTGACTAGGAGCGATCGCGACGGCCGGCTAGGGGCGAGCACGACGGTGAGGGGCCGGCTAGGAGCGATCGCGACGGGCAGGGGGGCGGCTAGGAGCGGGTGCGACGACCAGGGGGCCAGCTAGAGACGGGCGCGACGGCTAGGGGGCCAGCAAAGGGCGAGCGCGATAGCCAAGGGGCCAGCTAGGGGCGGGCGCGAACAATAAGAGGTCGGCTAGGGACGGGCGCGACGGTCAGGGGGCCCACTAGGAGCGATCGCGACGGTCAGGGGGGCGGCTAGGAGCGGGCGCGACGGCCAGGGAGCCAGCTAGAGACGGGCGCAACGGCCAGGGGGCCGGCTAGGGATGAGCGCGATGGCCAGGGGCCGGCTAGGGACAGGCGTGAACGACCAGGGGGGCGGCTAGGGACGAGCGCGAATGGCCAGGGGGCCGGCTAGGGACGGGCGCGAACAGTCAGGGGGGCCGGTTAGGGACGAGCGCGACGGCCAGGGAGCCGACTAGGAACGTAGGGGCGGAAGCGTGAGCGGGCTAGGGGGGGATCTAACCTACTATGATTCCATATCAGAAAGAAAAATGATTGAACTAGAATGTGTATGTACAAGGATATATGGACTAGGGTGTTGTACCCTCTAAGGCACAATCCAGTATAGTCTACAGTAACAATCTAAGTTACATTTGACATAAGGCCAGATGGTGATGGAAAAGGGGGTGAGGGTGATACAAGGCCAGGTGGAGTTGGGAAGGAAGGTGCCCTCCTGGTGGTGGGGCGAGGCAGGGAGGAGGGGAGGACAAAAACCAGATAAACGAAGACGGGGACGGAAGGCCGGGTGGGGTGGGTCCTGTTAGGCTCCGGCAAAGGCAGCGTCAGGGAAGACCTCTAGAAGGAAGGGGAGGGAGTGGGCGAGGTAGGGGGGAGGGGGGGATAACAAGAGGAGAGGAAAAGCCCGGGTGGGGTGAGGAAGGTGGGCTCATGTCAGGCTGTGGCAAAGGCCGCGTTGGAGAATGCCTCTGGAAGGGAAGAGAGTGAGCGGGTGACGTAGACCGTAGACTGTAGAGGGCAGGGGGGATGGGAGAGGGAGTGATATGAGGTCAGCTCGTGTAGGGGAGGGAGGTGAGATATCGGTAGCCCGTGGGGAAGGAAGATTGGGAGCTGCCTCTGGAATGGAAGAGAGGGAGTGGGTAAGGAAAGGAAGGGAAGAGGGGGGGGGGGAGGGGGGAATATAGTAAATATAGTCCAGATGATGGTGTTGGGGAGGGTGGTGAGGTCCTGGTGGGCTGTAGAGAGGGTGGGGGGGGAGAAATATTGTAAATATAGTCCAGATGTTGGTGTTGGGGAGGGTGGTGAGGTCCTGGTGGGCTGTAGAGAGGGGGGGGGGAGAAATATAGTAAATATAGTCTAGGTGATGGTGTTGGGGAAGGTGGTGAGGTCCTGGTGGGCTGTAGAGAGGAGGGTGGGGGGGGAGAAATATTGTAAACATAGTCCAGATGATGGTGTTGGGGAGGGTGGTGAGGTCCCGGTGGGCTGTAGAGAGCGCATAGTCCAGAGCTTCCTACCTTCCTCCGGTGGGGCCAGGGGGGGAATGTGTTGGGACAGGCTCAGGACAAAATACCAGCATTCTGGACGTAAGCCTCAATGGAGTTAATCAAGAGCTGCAGGAAACAAAATCACTTGGACTTAAAAAGCGTGCTCAGCAGGACTCGAACCTGCGCGGGCAGAGCCCAACAGATTTCTACTCTGTCCCGTTAACCACTCCGGCATGAGCACATGTAATAATGTTCGTCTGCAAACATTTAATGTGTTACTTTATCCTTACGTTGACATGTTCCTCCCACCTCCCATTCCATTCACTAGCATGCTCCTTGGGTGTACAAAACAGTCGCAGCCTTCGTCTAATTTCAGCCATCCAGATCGCTCCTCGCCAGCAGCGGAGAATCCCAACCAAGTTTCGCGAAGCATTTGAAAAAACAAGAAAGCGAGTCCATATGGACACAAAGAAAGAAGGGAAAGTACATTCGCGCTCAGTATTAGGGTCCCCGCTATTACGTACGGTCAGTGGAACGCTATGGACAATCAGAATTAGTGAGTTCGTCACACGGCTAGTCAGTCGGGTTCCAGGGTTAGTCAGTGACTGTTGGTAAACATTTCTACGAATGGTCAGTGGATGTAACCCCCTCCCATTTTGGGCACTTTTCCAACTCGCGGCAGCCCAACAACCAAACAACTGTAATAGTTGCGGGGGGCGAGATTTTTTTCGCGCCAGCCTGGCGCTGCACATTTCGCCCTCACTGCAACCCTCGGTACTGTACATTTCGCCCTCCTCCAACGCTTCGCACTGTATATTTCGCCTTCACTCCAATGCTCGGTATAGTACATTTCGCCCTCATTCCAATGCTTGGTACTGTAGGGTACTGTAGCGAGGGCGAAATGTACAGTACCGATCATTGGAGTGAGGGCGAAATATACAGTGCCAAGCGTTGGACGAGGGCGAAATGTACAGTACCGAGGGTTGGAGTGAAGGCGAAATGTGCAGCGCCAGGCTGGCGCGAAAAAAATCTCGCCCCCCGCAATTATTAAGGTCGTTTGGTTGTTGGGCTGCCGTGAGCGGGAAAAGTGCCCAAAATGGGTGGGGGTTACGTCCACTGACCATTCGTAGAAATGTTTACCAGCAGTCACTGACTAAACGTGGAACCCGACTGACTAGCCGTGTGACGAACTCACTAATTCTGATTGTCTATAGCGTTCCCTTGACCGTACGTAATAGCGGGGACCCTAATACTGAGTGCGGGTGTACTTTCCCAAGAAAGAAAGAAAGAAACTTTAAAACTCTTACCAACTTGCGAAATGAATTGTGACACTGCTTCCGCCATGATGTTACAGCTTTGCTTTTTGAGCCTTGCGACGAGCGTGTTCAGCTCGCTTAGATACTGCGCCTTCGTCGGCTGAGCCGTCGCCGTCGCGGACAACGACAGCAGCAGCAGGCCGAGCACGAGGCACCATGACGCGTGCGAGCACCAGTGGCGCGGCGAGGAGACCGCCATCGGAAGATACTACTTTGCTGTTAGTAAAGCCTACGTCTCAAAGCTCGAGAAGTACAACCTTCTATAGAAAGTAATAATTTTTCGAGACGTTTCAAAGCTAGAAAAGTACAACCGTGCTCTAGTAAAAGCCTCTCACTTGCTTGCTGTAAGCTTCAGTGCGAAAATATCGGGTTTGGAGAGCTCAGCAGGACAGATTAGCCAGACGAACAGAAACACCAGGTGCATCACAGCTTTGAAACGACGAGGGCAAGGAAGGAAGCTAGAGTGCCTTGTTGCAATAAACAAGGGGTGATGAGCATGTCGGGTTTGTAGACAAGATAAGGCCACGTGGGGACAGGTTTGAGGCTTCGAGATTGGCTCCAATTTGTAGGGTCGGGGCGGATTTTGCCTGAGAGAGTGTCCATCCGAAGTAGCACAGTGTTATGGCTGCGTTCTGCAGGCAAAAATGGAAAGCACCTTCCGAAAGCGAGATTTTTTGCTTCGGATAGAGGGTTAGCCCGCTAATTTTCGCCCAAACCTGGCACAACGTACCCGAACGTAGTTACGTTGACATGCCTACAGAACAGGTCCATCTACGGATGACATCTACGTCAGGGAAACACCCCCGTCGCTTCCCTCCCTGGCAAATTTGACGCAAAGTCCACCTTGCGTATGGCGTTACATCAACCGCAAGGGTGTATTAGGCCTCCACACCCCAAAAATACAACCGCGACCACTTTACCCCCCTCGCGAGCTTGGGCCTGCCCTGCAAAAAAACAGCAGCTGAACAAACCCATTGCCAACGAGTCATATCTCAGCTGAACCTTTTTTCGTCATTTTGCCCCGGATAATTTCTCTCCTGCCCTTGGGCAACAGTTTTTTTTTTTTTTTTTTTTTTTTTCCGCAATTTCGAAATTATCCCCTCTCCTTTCGCTTGCGCTTTCCACAATTTGGTCGCGTGGCTTCCAAGCGAGGTTGGGAAAGTGCACCTGGTTTGGATGGTAACCAGTTCTCTTGAAGTCGCTTGAGGAGCTTCTTCAATGTCGACGTCGACGTCAACGTCAAATGCCTGTAGAACATAGCCTATGTGTGGGAATCGAACAATCTACTGAGTAATGGAAATACAACCGAGGAATAGTCATGGATTGAGCAAGTGATGAGCGAACTATGGGAAAACTTGGGACCGATGGGAAAACTTGGTCGTCGGCCCAACTTCAGAATTTGATCTAAAGTAGGGCTCGTACGTGCTAGGGCGAGAACCGGGGACGTGTGGCTTGGAAGGGTGGCGAGCGTATCGGAGCGCGACTCGGGGAGGTTTGGGCCGACAATCGCAGCCGAACCTGCGAGATCGGGGTCTTCGTGTGTACGCACTGTAATTTAGCGCAGTAATGAATTATAATTCCTTACATACAGATGGTGTAAGGAATGAGGAATTTCTTACCAAGGCTCGCTATAGGGCGTACGACTCGAACAGTCCCGAACCAGCGATAGGGTTCTAGACCTTTCAGTTCGAGCCTCCTTGGCCTTTCCGGACCTCGCTTCGACACATCCAGGCCCTTCAACACTTTTCCCGAACCTTCCGATCCTACATCCAGGATCACCCTAGGTTTTCTATATATTGTGTTGTCTTTCATTTTATTGTCATTCACTCGTTCACAGTTTCGCCATTGCCCTCCACGCTACTCGGCCGTCTGTTGTGGGCTGGTGTCGGGAGAGCACGTTGACCCCTTATGTAACCGGCTTCTTCCAAACTCCTTAATTTTGTCCCCAAGTTTTCCGGTACCGGTATGATCTCCACAAGTTTCTTCTTCTTCTGGAGTCCCTCCCGAAATTTCTCCAAAGCTCTAGCCCCTCGAGAATCATACAGTAAGTTTTCATTAAAGCATCTTTATTATATAACTTTAATTAATCATTATAATTTCTTGGGTCTTCTCGGAGTTTCCCCGTCTCGGCAGAGTCTTTTTTCACGGAGTCAGATTTTTTCTCGGTGATTTTCTCTTGCGAAGACTGGTCGTGGGGTGGAGATTTTTCCCCATCATTTCCTCCTGCTCGCGTCGAATCAGCTTCGTTGAAGTTGATTTTCTTAGGAGACCGCGGCCGTTTTCGGATCTTTTCCTTTTCGCCAGCTCGATCCGCATTTACTGGCGACTCCCGTTTTTTGTCTTCTGATTGGCCGAAGGATTTCCGCCACTGTTGCGTGCCCGATACTCTGCTCCTGCAGCTTTTATTGTGTTGCAGTCGAAGTTTCGATGGCCCGGCACCCCACAAAAATCACACGTGTAGTTGGTGTTTTTCAGACGTGACCGCCAGTCGAATATGTCGATTTCCATTGGGTCCGCGAACGTGGGGTGAGCCGAGCGGCCGCCCTGTCGCGTACTGCCGACGTGCGCCCGTCGTGTCCCGACGTTGACCATGTCGAATCGCTCCGCTGCCGAAACGACGTGACTATAGCTAGCGTAGTTCCAGTCTACACGAGCAGGTCTACCTGCGACGCCCTCAGGGCTTCACTGGTACCTGCTCCTGCGGCGCCCAGTCTACGGCTTGCGGCAGGCGCCCTGTGAGTGGCACGACACGCCGCGTGCTACCCTTGCAGACCTGCAGTTCTTTCCGTCCTCTGCAGACCCCTCGCTCTTCGTTCGTGCTGGCCAGACCCGTTCTACATCCTTGTTTACGTAGACGACCTGGTCTTTGCCACTGCAGACACTGACGCGCTGGCCTTCGTGAAGACAGAGCTGCTGAGGAGACACACCTGCACTAACCTTGGAGAACTGCGCCACTACCTTGGCATGCAGATCTCCCGGGACAGAGCAGCGTGCACCATCACCCTCACCCAGTCACACTTGGTGCGCTAGGTTCTTCAGAGGTTCGGTCTTCAGTTCTCCTCCGCACAGCCCACACCTCTTCCTGTAGATCAGAGGATCTCTGCTCCAGTTCCTGAGGAGCAGCAGATCCCTGTGGTCCTTACGCAAAGCTGGTGGGTTGCCTCATGTACCTGATGACTTGCACTCGTCCAGATCTCGCATACCCTCTCAGCATCCTGGCTCGCTTTGTGGCCACAGGCAGACACCGACCTCAGCACTGGTCTGCCGCTAAGAGGGTTTTGGGTTATCTCGCAAGTACATCAAGCATGGGGTTAGTGCTGGGAGGACGCAGGCCAGTGGTCCTTACGGGACACACAGAAGCTTCTTGGGCAGACGACGCTGAAACCCTCAGGTCCTCGCAGGGCTACTGCTTTAGCCTTGGTTCAGGTGCTGTCGCGTGGAGAGCTACACGCTCCTCGTCTGTTGCCCAGTCCAGCTGTGAGGCCAAGATCTACGCCGGTGCCATGGCGGTACAGGAGCTCCGCTGGCTGACCTTCTTCCTTACTGACTTAGGTGAGCGGCCTAGCTCTGCCCAAGTCCTGTATGCTGACAATAGGGCCATGATCCTCCTGTGTCAGGAGCCTCGACTTGAGGGCAGAGCGAAGCACATCCAGCTGCGATACTTCCTCCTGCGCAAGCTGCAGCAGCGTTGCCAGGCTTTTGTTGTACACTTGGCCTCCGGTGCCAACACAGCTGATATCTTTACTAAGGCGCTTGCGCCTAAAGATCATTAGCGGCACTGTGTACAGCTTGGTCTTGTTCCTGTAGCCTCTCATCTGCTAGGGCCTTGATTGCGTACAGACCTTTATATATATACATATATATATTACCCAGACTGGCCTTGTGGCCTCTCCCAGTGGCTGGACTAGTAGTGCCGCCCTGGTCTTGCTCTTGTTGTGTCTATACTCCTTTGACTGGTCTCTAGATGCTTGCCTCAGAGGCTGGACTAGTAGTGCCGCCTTGAGTAGCTTGTTCTACTGTTAGGCACTGCCCCTACATAGTCTAGGGGGTGTGTCAAACATATCTAAGTATGGAAGTATAGACAATATAGGTTTGTACCTTAGAGGGTACAACACACTAGCCTATATACCCCTGTACTCTCTGTCTTGAACTGAGCTAGCAAGAAAGGAGAAGGCCGCCATGAAATGGCGGCCGAGGATTAGCTAGGAAGATTGACGAGAGAGAAGAGGGTCGATTAGGAAGAGAGAGGGGTACAAGGAGGGGATTGTACCCTCTACAGTAACGTTCAGTAACAACTATCAAGCCTATCAATTATATATAACTTATATAATTTTAACACTCCTAGTTCACTTCTTCAATTCTGATACTTCGCGCCAATTTACGAACCAGACGTCGTAGCTCTGCCGAATCACGACCATGTGCTCCTAGGCTAGCTATATCCATGCTCCCTGCTGTTTTGATGTTGCTCATTTGTATTTTTCCTTGTTAATCAATCCTTCGACACACGCTCTTTGCACTTCATTACATCTTTACACCTTGTATTGGTAATGTCTGAAATGACAAGGATGATAATAATGAGTAATACATGCATGTTTCTAATCTAGGAAGTACGTATTAGGAATGTATTGCGACTATTCGCGTGACATGACTGACTGCTCTTGTGACAGAGTGGCGTGACCCTTCGGGTTACTAGACGCGTGAACCTATTGTTCACTTGTTGACTCGCTACTGCTGACATCATCACGCACGTCCTTCCATAGGTGTCACGCTACTAGTACGGTCGAAATATGATTTGAGGAATGCATTAGGAACAATTTATTAATACCTCGACTAAACTATTCGCACCAAACAAAAATGAGGAACTGCGTGCAACTCAATCGCTGATAGGGTCTCATAAGAAAATGGGTTATTTGAGAGCAAACAGGACAAATTGTACCAAGTTTCACAGTGGCAAAGCAGTAGCTGCTGTTGTGGCCACAAGAAGAGCAGCAGCCGCGCCAGCAACCCCAAGAGCCGCAACAAGGGACACGGTGGCCAACTCTGGTTGCCTCTTGAGGAACTCCTCCACTGAAATGCCCGTGAGCGCCTTGCGCCCCGCCTCCCTGCTGGCGATCTGATCAGCGCACTGCTTGCCTGACAGGATGGCCCCCTCCATTGACGCCAGGTACCTCTGTAGCAGGGGGGAGGGGGGAGGGGGTGCGAGGGGACGGGGTATCAGACACAGCAGATGGAACATCAAAGACAGGCAAACACA